AGGATATTAGGAAACAGGTGTTATCAAGGTAGTTACTTGGAGATGCAGTAGAGAAGGTTATCCAGAGGGAGTGATTGGTGAGATAAATAATGCTAACATAGTGTTAAAAACCAGAGGGAAATGTATGAGTTGAAAGTCCTACTAAAAATAAAAATAATATAATATAACAAAGAGTGCATGTGTATGGCTGAGACTATATAACAAAAAAATTAGTGCTATGAAGGAAAAACTTTCTTTGAGTTGTTGGTCAGGGTAGTCCAAGAGACGCCCCAAATAACAATAGTGTATTGCCACAGCCCTTGATTACCTCCTGGGACATGAATATAAAATTGTGTTGCTGAAGACAGGTCATATTTCAGGCAAAGGACTTGGAGCAGTGGAGCTGCAACTGAACTGGAAGTCTCCTACCTGAAAATTGGCTCTCATAGAATCAGAAGTTATATGCAAGCTCCCAAAGGAGAAAAAAAAATCAAATGGTCCTTCTCAGCTGTAAAGCCTGATAAATAACAATAACTCTGCAAAATATTGCTGTTGGTGTAATACTGATGTTTTATCTGGGGGGTAATCTATTGTTGTCTAATTGGAATTAAGCCTTGCTCAATGGGAGGGAACCTATGAGTGGTATTGTAAGCACAGTCAAATATACGTGGCTTGGGAGATCATAGATCCTAAAGAAAAACCTACTTTAAAATTTTTTGCATGTAAAGAAGGCATTAGTCAACTACTTTGATATTAGTCAACTACTTTTACCACATCCCTAGACCAATGTAATTTCTTACTGTATTCTAAATATGCATCCTTATATTTACAGACAAATGTAATTATCACCATTATTAAGGAAACTTCTTTTTGCAACACGTGGGGATTATCACAGAGTTCCACAACTGTTCAAACGCAGAAAATTATTATCTGATAGATATTCAGCATTACAAGACACATTTTCCATGCAACCTCTACACATAAGAAGACTTCATCTTTCAAGTCTTAACCAAAGAGTTTACTTTATGCAGCAGATGATCATTAACACAGAAATCCACAATTGGTCAATGTGCAGAGAACAAGAGGTTGCAGAGTGCTTATTTGTGAGTAAAACATCCATTTCAAACTTCTGCCTCCCAAGGTTTAAGGATCATTGTAGAAGCAGGGGAGGGACAGATTGTAAGAGCCAGAGGTGGTAGATGGCCTAAGGAAACAGTTTTCCATATAGCTGATCAGTTATGCATATGAACTCACAGCAATGCTGACAGCATGCACAAATTCCATGCAAGTTCAAAGAAGAAAAATTCCAGCAGAGACATCGAGATGTGAGTAAGAAATCCCAACCCAACCTAAGGAACTTTGGGCCACTGATGACTACTGAGAGGGAAAGAGACGGTATCTTATAGAGGTGAGACTTTTGATAGGTTGACTAGGCTCCAGTGGATGGACCCATGTTGAGGGTCATGTAGAGACAGAAATCAAACTCTAGACCTTATTGTATATATACTGTAGTGCATTGAATCGGGCATAGGGCAGTGAAGGGAGGGGCCAGTAATGGAGAGGATCTAAATACTACCAAATTTTATTCTATGAAAATTGCATACATTCAATAAAAATACAGTGTATGAAATTGATATTAAAATATGTTTTTATAGAATCTTGTGGATTTCATAGAATACATCTTAATCATATTTAGCCCCCCTTCACTGTCTAAGTGTCATATATATTAAGGCCTACCCAGTCTTGGTGTGAGTTCATGCACTGGAGCCTGTTCAGCCTGTCAGTCCCTTAAGGAAGATCACACTCATTTATCCAGCAGTGATGAAATTCATGAATCAATGCAAATATTTTTAAAGAAATGTTACCTGTATTTACCAGTGATTTAGTGAGATTGAAGGTATTTTTCATATATTTTCATTGTATCAAATATTTTTCATATATTTTATTAGAATCACATTAAATTTGTTTGTATACTAGAAATGGTTACAGCAATATCAGCAATATCTTAAAGTTCAATAAAAATTATTCTCGGTGGGAGAAGGGTGTGAAGCAGTCTATTATCCCATGCTCACAACTGAATTCTCAGAATATTGGTTTAAAGTAGCAAATACTATGATAACATCATAGTTTTCAGAAAGATGAACAATACAGATATTTATATGATACACATGGTTTCATTAAAATATTTTTCCTATGAATTGCAATATGTATGTTCACAGTCAAATTTATATGGAAAGTAAGTTACAACATCTAAAAAAATCTCAGTGGAGTAAATATTTTCATGTTAAGTGCAATTGACTTCTAATTCTCTGGTTTTCGAAAGAAAGAAGACATATAAGACCAGCTGTACTAGAATTATTAGTATTAATTTGCTGATTAGTGAGGAATGCCCAGCAGATTGGCTTTATCCTACAGGGAGTTTTTGGTAGCATTGAAGGAGCATTGAGGGAAGAAATAAATATCATTCCCCCAAAACAGCTATTCCTAGGAAAAATTGACTTGGGAAGAGTTGTCACTGACACACGTTTCATAGGATTTGGGTGAGAAAACCATATTTTATTTCACTGTCATTTTAAAGGTAAATAATCTCACGATCCAGAGCTTCTCATAAAGTGTTAACATGTGTGGAGAGAACTTTTTAGGGGAATTATCTAATAAATGGGATATAAGTCACTTCTGATTGGAAAGCGAAATCAAATGCTTTGTCCACTTTCTCTAGATTCCTGTGGAAGGACAACTATGCAGTAGTGGACAAAGAACTGAACTTGTCCATGTCGTTAAGCTCTGTTCTATAGTTCTTATTAATAACAATGAAGAATTATAGTTTGTAGACAATTGGGGGAATTCATCTTGGAAAACCCAACACATTGTGGTGAAACCTTTAAATAAGCTTCAAAAACTTGTTAATGTATAGTAGTAATTCAGAGATGGTGAGACTCACATTGAGAAAATTTTTGTTACATGTTGATCGTTAAGATAATGTAATAAAACCAAGCTGCTAAATATTTAATTAGTTTTTCTGAATTTTACTTTGTGAATAAGCATCCAAGAGAATTTCAAATACCTGATGGCCGTAGAGCAGTGAGACTTCCTTCTCAGGCAGTCTATCTCGGCTTCTTCACCTGGTCCCTGGTTTCATAGTATTCCTGGAAACATGAAGAAAGGAAGAAATCACCACATCTGTCACATTTGTTTCTCAGTAAATTTTTGGCAAATGAAAAATAAGCATAATCTTGGGGCTGGAGAGATGGATCAGTGGTTAATAACACTGGTATTCTTGCAGAAGATCTGGGTTTGAATCCCAGCACCCACATGGCAGCTAACAACTCTCCATAACTCCAGATCCAGGGGGTCCAATGGCCTTTTCTGTTCTCCAAAGGCATTGCACAACATGGATGCACTTACTTACATGTAGGCAATACACTATACACATTAAAAATAATACATAAAATATTTTTAAAAGCATAATTTTATATTTTAAGACCTAACAGTTGAAGAATTAATAATTGTTTCAAATATATTAGCTTCTCTGTTAATATATTTATTTGCCTGATAAAACTTCAAACAGATTTTTATTCTCTAATTCCCAGTAAAGACTGATCAGAACATATTACACAGGATAATTTCTTTAAGTGAAACCAAAAAATCCGAGACACCTTTTTATATAATATACAAGTTATTCTCCATCCTCAATGATTTTTTCCACAGTCTCTGCTTTCCTGTAATTACCTATTTTTCTTAATAATGCCTATTTATTTGTAAGAATTACTTTCAGAGCCAGGTGTTGTGGTGCAGGCCTTTAATCCCAGCACTTGAGAGGCAGAGGCAGGCATATCTTTGTGAGATTGATACTAGCTTGGTCTACATAGCAAGCTCAATGCTACTAGGGGCTACAGTTTCTGTTCTATATAAAAATATAAAAGTTATCTATGGGATTAAAGAAGAAATGGTATAATTTGGGAGTCAAAAGGAATTAGAAGGGGAAAGAAAAATGAGAGATTCTTGTGGGGTATGAGTGTGTTAAAAAATACATTACACACTAGAATAAAAATAATTTTATCTAAACCATCCTTTTGCACCATAAATAGATTCTTAGTAAAATATATGAAAAAATTCATGGGAATTTGAAAAATAAATCATTCAAATTGAGTTAGTTTTTCTTTAACACATTGTAGTATAAAATGTATTATGTTTTTGTCATTCAAATTCTATATGCAATATATCTGTCACGTATGTGTGCATCATTTACAGTAACTGTAAGGCTAAGTAAGTTGGTATCTATTGCTTCCTCATTTACTGTTCAGGTCACTGGATGTTAAAAAAATTACATATCAACATTGTGTAGAAAAATACTTCCTATTTCTGGTATACTTTAAAAAACAGAAAATACCTTTCATATCTGTTTATTAAGAAACATTTCAGTCTCTGAGCTTTGGACTGGGAAAATGAATAGCAAAACCCAATCTTATCTGAAGAAATATTTTCAACTGATTGTTGTAAGGTGAAGAAAAGCTGATCTTCCTAAAATGAGGAACTCTAGATACACTGACTAGACCTCAGTGGATGGACTTGTACTGGGGAAAGCCTGAGACATTGACAGTACAGGGAAACTTAAAAGGGATGGCAGTGTATATGGGCTCCAGTGAGGGTGATATGGGAGGGTGCCAGTGGGGACAGAGTATAAAGATGATCAAAATTGTTTGAGATATTCTGTATAAAATAAACAAAAATTCAGTAAAAATAAATTTTAAAAAAGAAACATTTCAGGTTGGTATGGTGACACATACCTTTAATCCCAGCAATTGAGAGTCAGAAGCAAGTAGATTTCTGTGAGGTCAAGACCAGCCTAATCTACATGGTGTGTTTCAGGCCTTCTGGGGCTACAGGGAAACCCTGTCTCAACTCTCCATGCCCAATAAAAGCAAAAAGGAAGCGTTTCAAACACGGAAACAATCTGATTCAATACACAATGAGTCTTGATCACATTTTCATCTTTCCTCTTTTTACAGTGAGCAATTTCAAGGAATGTGATGGAGGAAAACAAGACCCAGGTCACTGAATTTGTTCTCAAAGGAATAACAGATCGTCCAGATCTGCAAATCCCTCTGTTCCTGGTTTTCTTTTTGATTTATGTCACCACCATGGTGGGAAATCTTGGATTAATTTTTTTCATCTGGAAGGACCCCCATCTTCACACCCCCATGTATCTTTTCCTTGGAAATTTAGCTTTTGCTGATGCCTGCACTTCATCTTCAGTTACTCCAAAGATGCTCATGAAATTTTTAAATAAGAATGACCTGATATCACTGGGTGAGTGTTTTTCCCAGTTTTATTTTTTTTGTTCCAGTGCAACCACGGAATGTTTCCTGCTGGTAGTGATGGCCTATGACCGCTATGTGGCCATATGCAAACCTTTGCTCTATCTAGTGGTGATGTCCAACAGACTGTGCACTCAGTTCATAAGTGTGTCATATATAATTGGATTTCTACATGGATTAATTCATGTAGGATTATTATTTCGATTAACTTTTTGTAGGTCTAATATAATTGATCATTTCTACTGTGAAATTTTGCCACTATATACAATTTCTTGTACTGATCCATCAATTAACACATTGGTGGCTTTTATTTTTGCTACTTTTATACAAGTTAGCACTTTTATGAGTATCATAGTCTCTTATGCCTTTGTCCTCTTTGCTGTTCTGAAAACAAAGTCTGGGAAGGGCAGAAGCAAAGCCTTCTCCACCTGCAGTGCCCATCTATTGTCTGTATCTTTGTTCTATGGCACCCTCTTCTTCATATATGTGCTCTCTGGATCTGGCACAGACATGCATCAGGGCAAAATGTATTCACTGTTCTATACAATTATAATTCCTCTGCTAAACCCCTTTATTTATAGCCTGAAAAACAAAGAAGTTTTAAGTGCCCTGAGAAAACTCATGAGATAATAATTGTTTTCATAAAAGTGCTCTCTGGACCTGGCACAGACATGTATCAGGGCAAAATGTATTCACTGTTCTACACAATTGTAATTCCTCTGTTAAACCCCTTTATTTATAGCCTAAGAAACAAAGAAGTTTTAGGTGCCCTGAGAAAATTCATAAGATGATAACTGTTTTCATAAAACTTGAAGGTTGTTTCTACTGTCTCCTTTTCTCTTTGCAAATGTATCATAATATTTGGCCTTGCATTTTTGTACATAATAGAAATTCTTATATATTGCTAAATAAAGCAACAAAAATGTAAACTATGAATCCTTATCTGAGTACTGTTATTATTATAAAAATTGTTAATAAGGGGGCTGGAGAGGTGGCTCAGCACTTAGCACTGGCTGCTTTTGCAGAGGATCCAGGTTTTGTTCCCAGCACCCACTTGGCAGCTAACAACTGTTTGTAACTCCAGTTCTGCAGGATCTGATAACCTCTTCTGACCTCTATGGGCATTGCATGGCATGAGTGCACTTATATACAGGTCGGCAATACACTCATACACTAAAATAAAAATAGTAAAATATTGTTAGTGAGATCTTTCAGGATAGATTACAGTATTAGCTGTTTTTAAATCAGTGCTCAAAGGAGGATGTGAATTGACAAATATTTTTATAAGATGAAAAAACTCTATTCCAGATATGCATATTTTACCTCTTTGAATTTATATTATTTAAACAAAAGCTCAGTGTTTATAAATACTATCTTTTTCCTTTCTTGAAATTTTCTGTGTTTTGTTGGTTTCATACATTTAGGCACTGTAGGCAACAGCCATCACCATCTCTTCTGTCACCTCTCCCACACTCCTGCTGATTCTGTTTTTCTCCACATTTTTCCTCCTGCATTTGTATCTTTAGTTTGTGCAGAAATTATGTAAGCACCAACCACTGCTGTATGTTTTGTACATTTACAAATTGAATGGCCATGTTACATACAGAAGACAATGTTTACAGCATTCCTTCCTGTTGGGAGCCGCTAATCATTGAGCTGCTGCAGCCTCATTTACTGAGTTTGTGTCATGCAAACCAGTACTTAACCTGTCCATTCAGGAGGAAGAAGTTTTCTGGAGAGCCTCACAATACCTGACCTTGAGGCATTAGTGGTAAACAAAAGGATCCAAGAAGCCTTTGATCTGACCGCTCCCTGACCCTCAGATACAGGTGGGGAAATACAGCAATTGTAACTAATTGAGTTCTTCTGTATAAAAAGACAGAACTGAAATAAACGGAGGCTGGCAGTATTCACTGTGAGCCCTCCCAAGAAGCATCTTTTCTGTCTCCTTTCCTTTCTTTCAATCCTCACTCCCCCTTTCAGGTACTGTCCATTTTGGCCAGCTGGCACCGGCAAGTGGCGCCTGGAACAGGGACCTGAAAAGTAGGGGATAAAGTGTAGGACACCGCTGGAGAAGTTAAGTGAGTGCACTCGGTACAATTGGGGAGTGGTGAGTATTTATCTTGGGAGAAGATGGGGCAAGCAAATAGTCACTTAGCTTTTGTAAGGAATATACTTGGGGCCCTAGGAGCAAAGGCTGAGACTAAAGAGGAGAATCTGATAAGCTATGGCTGGGATAAAAGTGAAACCAAACCTTCCGCTCCACCAGAGCCAGATCCACCCTATTATGAGGACCCCCGTCTGGGGCTAGAAAAGGGATCCCTTGACCCTGAGGATGAGTCTGCCCTAGGAGAGGAGATGGTTGAGTATGATCAGGAGAAGTGTCCTGATCACTGG